TTAATATATAATTATGAAAAAAAATAATTATTATTTTATATAATATAATAGTACACACAAATATATGTATTATAAGATTATATAAACTTATGTTAATTTAGATGCTCTACCAATGAGCAAATAAATCTTTCGTATTTTTTTCTTTAGGTAATTTGTTTTTAATTGTTTATGTTTTTTCCACATCAGTCTTTTATCTATGATAATATCATACCTAGGTATTTGACTGAATCCTTGATTGGAATTACTGCTCCATTTATGGTTACAAGGGGAAAACATGCGTGCTTAAACAGCACGAAAGTTATATGCACTGATTTACTTATTATTACGATATTATTTTTACTTTCGTTAATGCCATTTCTGACACCAATTTTCTATTATTAGCATATGACGTTAAGAGCATATCCAAACACGTTTTGGTAATCACAGTCCAATGCTAAAAACGAAGATATAAATTTAATTAAACATTAAAATAAATTTAATTATATTATTCACTAAAGTGTGGTTTCTTGATCTTGATTCTTTATACGCGTCTTCTTCTTTCTAATTTAAATATGTTGATGAATATGAAATTTTATGTAAATATATTTTTAAAAATCAATGACTTACTTTAATATATTTTATTAAAGATTTTGATGTGTCATGTTTCTGTAAATAAAAATAGAAATGTTTAAACTTTAAATGACAAATAAGCAGCAAAAATATTTCGATATTAAGATTCTAAATATTTGAAAAACTCTAAAATATATTAATAAAAAGAAATCAATAATTGAGCAAAAGTTAGAAATTTCATGAATGTTTAATCCTATGATGAGTGTCGGTAACTCTTCAGTGAGGTCTTCGAGTAAAAAAATGATGAGTGTCGGGTAACTCTTCAGTGAGTTCGGTCTTCGAGTAAAAAAATGTTTAAACTTCAACAAGTAGACATTACAGTTACCTTCCTTCAATGGATTGGATACCTTTAACAAATAATGAAACAATATTTGTTAAAAATTAAACCAAGTTTATTAGTTAGTTTAACTCATTAGATAAACAGTATATAAAAATTCATAAGATTTGATACAAACCTATTAGAAAGAAAAAATATGCTGTTTTGCTGGAACTCTGCATTCCATTCCCTCTAAGATTTGATGTTCGAGTTTTTGAAAAACGATGATGAGGATGATAATCTGTGATATTGAATTTCTGAATAAATACTAGGACTTTTAGTCCTAGTGAGATCTTTGAGTAAAAAAATATTCAAACTTTAAGTGATAAATAAGCAGCAAAAATACTTCGATATTAAGATTCTATATAAATATTTGAAAAACTCTAAAATATATTAACATATTGCGTATGGGTCACAAGATATCTTCGTTTTTATGCACTCAAACGTTGCGTATCGGTCACAAGATATCTCGTTCTCATGTTTTATTTCGAATCAATCGTCAACGTAAACAAGCAACGGCAAATAGATTGTTGCATATACTGCAACCAATAACAAGTACAGGCAAG